GAGGGTGTAGAGCCCCGGCTTTCTGTGCTAGCTGAAAGGTCCCATTGTTGGGGCAGGAGATGTGCAGGTAGAAGCAAACTGAACAGGTTTGGGTTTGACTGTCGTTCTGGTTTGAAGCATGCGAGAAGTGCTAGCTGTGAGGCCTGGAGCTGGGGTGAGGGATAGCATGCAGGAAGGCTGGTTTAAGGAGGTTTTAATAAATAATGGGCCTGTTCCTGGGCTCCTGACTCAGGCAGAAACTGGTACCAGAGTCAATGAGGCACTTTGAGCTTTTCTCCTGTTAAATATCCTGAATCGTGGAGTGTTTCTTTGCTGTTCTTCCTCTACAAAAGAACTGATTGTCAGAAGTGGCTGGAGAATTTTCTGCTATCTCCAGAAGAGCATAAGAAACAAATGGATTTGCGCTATCAAAGAACCATAATTGCCATCTCAGACTTCCTGTTTAGGATTCAGTCAAGTAGATATTGTTTATGGATCATAAAACCTTACTACTGTGAGGATTCTCAGATACTGGCAGCGCCAAGTTTCAACTTTCATGGTGCTGTAAATTAGAGGGGGTGGGGGGAAAGTGTGATAATACTCCTCAGAGAACAGTAAAACAGAGCTCTGCAATGGTTAAATGGAATTTTATAAGCACATTCAGTGTGGAACTGTTTTGCATTACATGAGTTGAATACCTTAGAGATGACACACATCTGCAGGCACTTTATTAAATCCTTAGTCAGCACTTTTCAACCTGATGAGATTACTTCTTCATTTGACTGGAGAAAGGGAAGCAAAGATCTCGTACCGGACTGCAGAATTCTTTCTGATGTTTCACCTTGAGCGCTGGGGAAGGACAGAGAGATGCTCGGCAGGACAATACAGACCTGCAGTGGCACCAACAACTGTGTGGCAGTAATTTTACTGAATGGGACCTTTAGCTCCAGTGGATTCATTTAGCACTAAACTCACTGAGAGTACTGCAAAGTAAATAGAAGGGAAATAAAATACCATCTCTTTTATGAAAACGCACAGAGATAATATCATCCTGGCAATATTGTGATAGTGTCCATGATTTAAATGGAGATTTTAAATTAAGAAAGGCAATACGGCGTTCTCCGAGTGGGTGCAGTCGGATAGGTTACAGAACTGAAGGGATAAAGTGGGTAAGGTGGTTAGACATTGAGCAGAGCTCTAAAACAAGGCATAAAACCACTTCAGCCATCTGAATGTAGCGATCTAGGCTTCTTTTTTCCTCCTCTAAGCCCCCTAATCATGCCAAAACCAAAGTTGACAGATCCCAACTATTGGATCTCCAAGTGCCTAACACACTTCCTAGACGTTTTTATTTGAGGCACGGAGGTCTCCTCTCCCTCGAAGAGAAGTTTCACAGGTGCTTCAGAGGAACAATAGTGCTCTTCAGCCCTAATCCTGGAAGACTTAGACGTGTATAGGAGGCTTGAGGGGGATATGAGATCTTAATATTAAAATGATTAGTAGAAAAAGGAGGATCATTCTGTGTGTGCATTTCAGCTGTAAGATGCTCTAAATTAAACTGGTGTCCCGAGAGCGGTGCTGGTGGGATCTGCCGGGTAAATGCGCTCTCTGTCTCGCTGTTCTGCTGCCTCAGCCCATAAAACATCTCATCCAAGTGGGGCTGCAGGAGCAGGCGAAGCGGGATGCAGCTGTTGGTGAAGCACTTGGAGTTTGGGTCCTGTAAAAGCAGCTTTTCAGTCAAGGCGATGCAGAGCCCCGGCACGGAAGTTTTGAAACTCCCCGTGCAGTTTGGTTTGGGTCGATCCTGTAAGGGTTAATTAAGTTTTTCATTGGTATTAAGGCCGAGCAGTGTCTGCAGGAGTCATATTGACACCCTAGTGCATGGTAACTCTACTCCTTTATTGACATGTTGCTAGTCAGGAGCACAATAGCGCTCTGTGTCTGCAAATCATTGCTAAAATCATCTCAAGAAAAAAAAAAGTTTGAAAGCCCAACGCGAGACAAAGGCCCCAGAGCTGCACTGCGCCGCTCAAAACTCCCGAGTCAGCAACTTCTATTGATTAAAAACTAACCTTTAAAGTAACTCGCAGAGTGTGTGGTTAGCATTTAAATTTAAACATGTCATGAGTTGATTTGTGTTACTGAATACCAACTCCGAAGGAGTTACATTCACATCAGATTTTTTTTTTTCTAATTCCCTTAAGCAGCTAAAGTATTTCATGAAATGTCAATAGGGCAGGGGGGAAAAAAAAGGTGTTTTGGAGGGAGGGGACTCGCACCCAGCCTCGCCGTTTCTTTTCCCATGCAAATAGTCACCCCAAAAAGAAAAGTGTGGGGAGCGACACACAATAATTAGACCTTTGTCTAACTTTCCCAAGTGCCAGAGAAAGACAGATTAATTAAATATACAACAGTGTTAGTTTTTGGAGTGGGGGTCTCTCTTGCTGTGGAGGTCATAAATTAGGCAGAATAAATAGTTCAGTGTGTTGGGAGCGGGGCTCGACGTCAGCGCGGCTGGCGGCGGTGGGAGGGCGCAGCGCCGCGCTTGCGGATGGCGGTCACGTCTGGGGCTGTCTGGTTGCCCTTAGCAACGAGACATGATGTAACACCGGGATGAACTTGAACTTGGGGGACTTGAAAAGGGAACAATAGACCAGAGCAATCAATAAAGCCTATTTCAGTGAAGGATTACAGAGCCGCTCTGGGGTAACCTTGTCTGCGAGGCGCGGGGTGAATAGCGAGATGCGTGAAGGAGCGCGGGGCGGCGGGGGACGGACCGACGGACCGGTCGGGGCGGACGGACAGACGGACTGATGGGCGGGGGGGGCGGCGGAGATCGGGCGGGCGAAAGGACCTCGCCGCTGCCAGCTCCGGCCCCGCGCAGCCCCACCTCCGCAACCTCTGAGCTTCTTTTTTTTTTTTCAGCTCCTGCTTTTTTTTTTTTTTTTTTTTTTTCTTTTTAATCAGCTTCTGAAACGAGGGAATAGTGGCGAGGGCAGCGGCTCCCGCCACCCGGCGGGCCATGTGCCGGGCCAGCGGCCATGGAGCCAGCCGGACATCGGCGCTAAGGATAGGAACCATCGCCTCGCTGTGTTCAACCCCTCCACTCCATCACCTCGCAGTGTTCAACCGTTCTACCCCATCACCTCTCAAATCTTTAACCCCTTTACTCCATCCCTCACAGTGCTCAACTCCTCTACTCCATCCCCTCTCAGTCTTAACCCTCCTTAACTTCATTGCCTCTCAGACTGTAACCCCTCTACTCCATCACTTCCCAGTTTTAACCCCTCTACTCCACCTCCTCTTAATCTTCAACCCTTCTGCTCCATGCCATCTCAGTCTTTAACCCCTCCGCTCCATACTGGGCGCTGCCACAGTTCCCAGCCTGACCAAAAACTGTCACACTCAAACAACAAGTATGAGAGATGATCCTGCAAAGTTTGGAGGAGCTGGCAGCTGGTGGTAGTTGGAGGTGCCTCCAGCACAGCACAGCCCACACTCCACGTCCCTGCACCCACCTAAAATCAGTCTAGCTCCGCAGTTAGGGAGGGGAACGGGACTTGGCTCTGCTTCACGAACCCTGCCAGAACTTTCCTCTGTTTATAAACTTTACATATGAGAACTATTTCGTTTAATTGCAGCCTGAGTAAGTCTAAATATAAAATCTGTAGGCAATAGATGGAGCTGATATGGGACTGGTGTGTTTGTATTCAGAAGGGCGAGTGGAGGAAGAGTTAGTTAATGAGGTGTATTGGAAGCAGGACAACTTCTCCAATCGTGCTGTTTATTTTACCAGTTCCTACCTCCATGGCAAGACCACATAATCTCCAAGTCCCACATGAAACTTGCCTCAGAGTCTTCTGTAAATGTTCATAAATCCTCCCTGAGCTGATTGTGCTATCAATCATGTCAGACGCCAAAAAGGAACGGAGGAAAAAGTTGGTAAAACTTGTCGTCGGTTTGTACGTGCACACGTACACACCTCATATATTACAGGATCCCGAGGAAAAACGTGGGGTATCAGCAACAGCTCTTTAATACCTGAGTCTTTCTTGTTGTATTACTTTACTTCAGGCTAAATAGTTGCCGCTTGTTGGTGTATTCCCACAGCAATATGTCATTGCCAAGTAGCATCCCCCCGCGCACACAGTCCCAGGGCCTAACACTGCTCTTATTCATCCCGAGATCAGGTTAGGCTGACCTCGCTGGGGCCGAGCCGGGTCTCCCTGGTGCGGTGGCACTGCCCTGGCTCCAGCAGAGCCCGCTCCAGCTTTCCAGCAGTGTTTATTTTCCTATCGAGGAGCGAAATTGTTTTCTGTGCATCTGCGCCGTTGGGTTAAGGACGGTATTGTTGCAGAGCTGAATTCCCAGGGAATTCCCTCTCTTTGGGGAAAAGAAAAAAAAAAGATTTTCCCAAAGACAAGCTATTAGTTGAGGCCCATGTTTTGTTTTGAAACACAAGTATGGGCAGAGATACGGGACATTTTTGCTGATCCACTTTCCCCCAGATTTGCTTTATCCTGGCTTTTCTCTAGCGATCCACATTTCTCCTAAGAAAACAGCCCTGTTGTTGAATTTCTGTGCATCTGTTCCAGCGAGACAGTTGAAGCAGGGCAGTATAAAGCAACAGATGCTTATGCTGGCACATGCCTAAATACCCAAGAAAACCCCGACTGCAGGGTGATAAATGGCACAGAGAGGCAAATGTGTATCGCCTTTTCAGGGGATTAGACAAAAGTGAACTGGAGGGATCTTCAAGCCATCATCTATTAAAAAGATTGATAACTTGTAACGTGACATGACCCCCGCGTTCATCTGTAGCTATGTCCAGCAACTGTCGGCGAGAAAAAAAAAATATTGATTTGTACAGTATTTTTAATTAAGCTTTGTAATTAGGTCAATTCGTCACGGTCTCAATTAGCCCCCCTCTTGGCGGAGGAGCTGGCGGCAATGCCCGGAGCCCTTGGGGAAGCAGCGAGAGCGGGCGGCGGCGCTGACACTTCTCCTTTCTCTTTTTGCAGTCCTGGTACCTGGGATAAAAGTCTCCGCTTCCCACCACCCACCGGACAGACCACCAGACCCCTTCCCACCTCTGTAACATGGAAGCAGCAGCAACGCAGCGCAGCGACTTCACATCGGCGGAAGGGGAGGCGAGCAGACACCGACAGCAAACTAGTACATGGAAATGGCAAACGTTATGGTTGAATGGCAAAGGCCGTAACTTTCTCGAGATTTTATTTTATTTTTTCTTTTTTTTTTTTTTTTTTAGACAACTTTAGGACTGTTGTAATTTCTCATATGGTGCTGGAAATGGTTGGGCTTCATAACTTTTGAAGTGTTTCATTGGTAGTGTAAGCGTTAGGTGACACTGAGTAGAACTAGCCTCTGCTGCTGCTTACCAACTCGCTGTTGTAACACACTTTCCATATGGAGCCTAACTGTTTTACAGTATCCTCATCGGATTTTCCCATACAGGTGTGAGACTTCTTGAGAAATCATGAAACACACTTAAACTATAACTTTTGTAGTAGCTGAATTCTGCAATATATAACTTACCGGACAGACATAGAGCATGTTTTTCTGTAACATATCGGGGAAAAAAAAAAAACAGGTTTTTTTTGTTGTTGTTGTTGTTGGGGTTTTTTTTCTTTTTTTTTTTTTTTTTACAGTCGGCACTTAGAGATGTAACATGAACCATAAGAGCATTGTCAACAATTTTTTTCCACTCGATTGCAGAGCGATTTAAAACATCAAACTACTACTATTCACTAAAAAAAAAAAAAAAGAAAAAAAAGAAAAAAGTTTGAAATGCTGCACTTACATTTAAAAAGAAAACATTTTTCAACAATTTTCAACAATTACACAAAAATTCACGCAGAAATGGGGAAGTTGGTCTGTTTTGACAGAAACTGACAGGAATCAATCAAAACAATCGAATTTTGAATTGAGTAAAGTGCAATTTCATTGGATAGCTAAATATCTTTGTAAGATAGAGATTGTTGAAAATTCTATTTTTGTTTTCCAAGTCCTTCCACCCCAGGACTCTAAATTATTGGGGTAAAAAACAGCCTTGCAAGAAAAAGGGGAGCTATTTTTGCTTTTTATGTTTTTTATTGTTGAACTTGTATCCCTTTAAAACTGAAGGAAAATTAAAAAAAAAAAAAAACAAATCTAATGGTGCTTTTACCACAATATGTTAACTACATTAAATGCTAATTAATCATTTTCTGTTATCAAAGCACATAACTAAAATGAAATCATAATATCTGTTAATTTTATAAGCTAAAAGTCACTATAATGGATTATGCCAATTCTGACAAATTTTACGTGTTTCCGGCAATATAGGGTTTATCAGTTCTCAAACACCTTGGGAATAAGAGAAAATGGTCCAGAAAGTAAAACACCTTTGTGTCCCTGAACTGGTACATTTTCTGGACTGCAAAGAACACAATACAGAAACGAACAATGCTGATCTTACAACTTATGCCAGTTCAAAGCAAGGGCACTTGCTAAAGAAGAAAAAAAAACAGACAAATAAAAAAATCTTAAAAAAAAAAAAAAAAAAAAAAAAAAAAAAAAAAAAAAAAAAAAAAAAAAAAAAAAAAAAAAAAAAAAAAAAAAAAAAAAGAAGTTTGGACCCCAAACGTCCTGTATCTTATGTACAAAAAAAAGGAAAAAAAAAGAAAAAAAAAAAAAGAGTGCAAGTGATTTTTTCTATCAGACAGCGGAGCACCCCTTTGCTTCACATGCAACTTTAAGAAGGTTTCCTATACTATACATATATATACGTTCTGGTTGGCGAGTCCAGCTAATCAGAGAAAGTCTCTGCATGTTCTAGTGTTAGTAACTAATTTTTATATAGTTAATGTAGGGTAAAGTAGAGTGCATTAAGACACAATATTGTAATCCCTATTCCAGGCACTTGCCTTTAAACTATGTTTGTTCGACCCTTCAGAAGGGTTTCTACTACTGTCCTATACAATCAAGTAACTGAAATTCTTGGGAAGACACTTTGCTCCTCATCTTTTCCCTGAAACAATGTTTTGTTTTGTTTTCTTAATTTGCACGAAACAAAAAAAAAAAAAAATTCCATATCAATGTGCCTTGCCCTGGATAGCGATTATTTGTGGAATTGTTGCACATGTTCCTATATTGAAAAGGGTTTTTCCCTAGTCAAGCATTTGGAGACACTTTTTGTAAATGTGACTTTTATGTCAGCCATTGTCAGTTCCAACATCTAGAATTAAATAGGATGTTAGTTGTTCCGCAGATAGGAGTAGTGTTTATTGTCCTGTATGGTCAGTGGCAGTGCTATTCTGAGATCTGTAGATGCTAGATTATCAGTATTTTTGGATGTTGCTGCATTTTACCTTTTATTTGGAGTCTTCCTTTTTTGTTTTGTTTTCTCCCAGATATATGAAAATATGCAATACCTGCTTATATCATGTAGAAAAGCTTAGCAATTATTAATTTTTCTTTTAATTTTTTTTTATTTGACCAAAGTTGGTGCTGCACTTGACGCAGTGTGTTTTAGGTGTTTGTCTTTGTACTTTTGTGATTTTTGAATGCACATGCAGGAAGGGCTCTTCTTAGAGAAGCAGTCAAACTGTGAAGCACTAAGCTGAACCCTGCTTCAAGCAATTTTTGTTTTACAACTGTTCCTTTCACAAGCAAGCCTTAAAAAAAAAAAAAACTTCCTTTTTCTTCAGATCCCACACCCATTTTTATTAGCAGACTGCAATCAATCCACATTCAATAAAAGTATATAATGCCCATTTTTATATGCACGTTTTTAAACTTCCAAGTTCTGAAAATTGTTTACTGGTTATTCTCTATTTAAGGAAAAAATAAAATGTTTTGGATTTTCATATGTGTCTGATAAGTGGTTGAGTAGTCATTTTGCTCTATTGTATTGTGTGATTGTTAGTATATGGTATCACATCCTCTAGCCAGCATCCTTTGCCTTCCCTATAGCACTTAGCTGGGCATTACTTTATTAAGACATATGTGCACTAAAAAAAAAAAAAATAGCAGCTTTCAGTGCTTCACAGTGAAGGGAAAAAAGCCTAGACAAACATTTTGTCAGAACCTTGCTATGAGACAAGGTATTACCAGTAAATTGGTTGTATATACAATAAAATTGCACCCTTTTTTAAACAAAACAAACTAAGCAATAGTTTGGGCAGTTAGTTGTTTTTAGTGAGCATGTTGTAGTCATGGCTGCAAAGAGAGAGAATTAAACTGCCCACTCAGAAGATATGTAATTTGTATGTTGTATAGTTTTATTGATTACACTGATTTATTCTACCCTATTTTATAATGCAGGACTTTTGTAATGTTGTTTAAATGAGGAAAAATTTCTGTCAAATTAGCTTAGTGGAATTTCTGATTGTTCGTTATAAAGGCAGCGTTCATAGAATTGCTTTTTTTTTTTTTTTTCCTTTGGGAACTGGATTTAAGTTAAAAACTTTCCCGTTTCCTTTTTTTGTATGTATTTAAATACAGTTATTTTTCTTCTCTCAATGGTATAGCATATTCCTATGCTTGAGAAGTATAGGCTACTGAAGAACCATTGTAAATGGACATTACAGGTATGCTGTATTTTTGAAGGTATTTTTGTCATATTAAGTTTGATGACGCTAAAGTTAGGGAACTCTGAGCAGAATTGCGAGAAAAAAAAATGTTTTAAAGGCTTTAAAACATTAGGTAGGAGGTCAAGGGTGTTAACCAACAGGGGTTGTAAAGTATTACACACTAAATTCAGTTTGCATTCACCTTCCTCTCACGCAGGAAACGCGGCAGTTCCGTTCTGTGCAGGTGTAGAGAACAAACAGTGTTTTAGTCCTCCGAGGAGTGGGGAGGCGAGCAGGGATGAGGCAGGAGGGATGGAGCATCCATATACCATCCATCCCTCCATCCCGTGGGGGTGCGGGAGGGAGCGGGGCCGGCGGCTGGAGCCCCCCGAAGGGTCACAGCCCCGCTCCCGCTCCGGCCGCTCTTTTTGAGTCACAAGAACAACTTTTTTCCTCCCCGTCTCCTCTCCAGAACCGTCAGACGCACAAATACTCTGACCTGTACCCACCCCCCGCCCATCCAAATTTAAAGCCCTAGGGATGGCTTAGCGCGAATTGACTTTTACTCAAGTTAATTCCTTTGTTTTTCCCTCTTTTGGGTTTTTGGTTTTTTTTGAGCGAGGGCACTTGCTTTTCTCATGCCGCACACCCCAGCAATGCCATTTATTATTTATTCTTCTTCCTTTATAATAAAAAACTTTCGGGCTTCAAGTTTAGGCAGCCATGGTACACTTTGTCTCTGTTGCTTGTTCCCCCTCCCCTTAAGGTCAAAGGGGAAAAGAAACACCAAGTTTTCTCAACTCCACAGTATTCAGTCAGCCCACAGGAATATGCAAAATCCCTCTAACATTTTTTTTTTCTTTCTCTAGTTTTCTTTGTTCCGTATATTTGCAGCTTTGTAGTAACAGTGTTATAAAATATTTACTGTACAAAAATACAAAAAAACCCAGATACATAGCCTAAAACAGTTTTTTTTTCCTTGTGGTGAATTATTTTTTTTTTTTAAGAATGTCAGTTAATATTGTACTTTGCATTGTGTCTCTGGAAATATCTTTTTTTTTCTTTTTTTTTATTGGTAGAAGGCCTCCATCGAACAAAATTAAAACCATAACCGGCATGACAATGTAAGGAGAGCTTCAATGGCACCTAAACAATAAATAAATAACAAAATCAACCTCATGAGGTCTGTCGGAGGCAGGTCTTGTGAAGTTAACACTGCCTGCTAGGCAGGATTTTCATTAAATCAAGCTTACAATGCCAATTTTGTCTTGAAGTCAATGCATGTATTACTGTTTGACAGTAAACCCAGCTATGCCATCATCAAGTCCAAGGCTGCGCAATAGTCTAATTAGTATCGAGTACATTTTCCTTTTATTTTTTCCAATAAAAAAGCAGTGGGATGAAAATTGCTTTGATATATAGCAGGTAACATTGAAGCTATTCCATAGCACTTAACTGTAGTGAATACTGTGTCACCAATTCTGAAATCAATTTAATGTTTAATGCAAATCCATTACATGGTGCTATTACAGGCTGGCAAAATGATTTACAAAAATGTGACAACTTGGGCTCAATTCACTCTGCTTTCCAACAATGTAAATGCATAGCAGTGTTTATCTGCATGAAAACTATGCACTAATCTATCTGAAAAAAAAAAAAAAAAAGAAAAGAATATATCAACTTTGGTATCTACTTTCCGTTTACTTCGATCCTTGCCTTTTCGGTCATTGTTATAATGCCAGCTTTAGGACAGAAAGAATTATAAGAAAACCAGCATAATACCTGATATATTAAAATGTAGTGCCTGTGAAATCTGTATTATATTGCTCTTCTGAAGTAAGATTTTTCTACACCGGTAGCCTTCGCTGTCTGTCAGAACCTTCTGATATAGGTGATGTAAAATAACCGTACAATATTAATGCATGCTATTCCATAATGCTTAGTAGCTGTATGAATATTACTCAAAGTTATGTTAGTCTTTTTTTCTGACTTGGTTCTTGTCAGATAGGTTTAAAGATATTTCACTGAGAACGCAAATTCTGTCTTTATTGATTTGGGGTGTTTTCAGTATTTTGGAGGTATACATTTACTTAAATTCAGTATTACTTGTGTTTTGGGTTTTTTTTCTTTTTTTTCTTTTTTTTTCCTTTTCTTTTTTTTTTTTTTTTCCCTAGAGGGCAGGACATGGTGTTTGAGACCAGAAATCCGTGCCTGGTAAGATTTTCGTCTCGAAAAGCTACCCTAAGAATTCAGAGAGCTTGCTCTGAAGAACAGTTCAAATTGAAGGGACAGTCCTTTAAACCCACAAACGAGACCGAGCTCATGTTGTGAGAGATTTCTTAATGGGCAGCGGTGAACCAGGTACCCATGCTTGACCCTTCTTCACACCAGACTTCCTCATATAGAAAGAAAAAAACCCTTTAAAAAAAAAAAAAAAAGAAAAAAAGAAAAAAAAAACCTCATGTGGTTGTTTAGTTTCATGCACAGTTGCAATATTTTTCTTCAAACTCTGTACAAACTTTGGGCCCGATTCATAAAAGCTCCTTTGCTATTAACACGGGGAGGTTGGTGGGCTTTTCTCCTCCAAATTGAGGACAGGTTTCACCTTGGCACGTGCGCCTGCTGGTTCTCCTCTCCCTCCCTTTCCCCTGTCCGCCTCCCCAAACCCCACAGAGACCAGGAATGGATGGGAAGGGGTTGTGGAGGCGGTGAGGCAGCACAGGACCATGCTCCGAACGCTAGAGGTGCAGCTGGCAGGAGGAAAGGGGGACATGGGAGAGGACGGCTCCGTGCCTCGCTCAGGCTGGTGCTGGGGGCCCGGGACATGGCAGCACGAGGAGACTCGATTACAAAAGAGATCTTGTCCCATACCAGAACAAAAAAAGCTCGATTGCTACCTCTGAGCTCTAGAGAAACCCTCCATCTAGGCGAGCGCTCACCCACAATGTGAACTTTTGTACTTTGTACGCCTTTTTGTAGGGAAGACTATTTTCCACTTAGTTAATCTTCTATACTCGAGCATGAACAAAAACAATTGTGTTGGGTGAAATCCCCCTCCCCTTTTATCTGCATCCACAAATTAATATGAGGGGAAAAAACAAAAAGAAGATGAGTTTCTAGATGGAGCATGGTACGGCAAGAGTGCCCGGCTCGGCATCTGCCGACGATACTTGTCCTTGTTGCCGGCATCCCTGCTGCCTTGGGGAAAGGGCCATGAAATCCTTTTGAAATACAATCAAGGAGAAATCTCCATTTTGGCTAGCTGTGCGGGTTCTCCGCTCGGCCGAGCTCTGCCCTAGCCCTGCCCTGCTGCCTGGGATCGGCCCAGCCCAATCCCTCAGCGGCGGTTTGAGATTTGGGGTGCTAAAATTTCCACCGGCCGTGTGAAAGATCTGCTGCAAATCCACTTGACACCCGTGTTAATACCATGTCGTGTTCATTTTTTTTTATGAGTCAGGCCCCTCGTGCCTCTAGTATACTTGTATTGACTCTCATAGTTACCATTTTAGTTTTACTGTGTTCTGTGAAAAAAATTGTAATTGGTTGAGAATCACTGTGGGCATCCATTCTTATTCAACTAAGTCTCCGCAGGTTTTTTGAGCTGGTGTGGATTAGTTTAACTCTTGTATTCAACCATTAGTGCTACCACCTTCTCACATTACAATACAATTACTGGAAGCAAGTACTGCATTTCCTATGCAACAAAAAAGGAAAATAAAAAATTGCTAATGCTAACAGTCTGTGTTGTTATTTACTTCCAGCTGGGCACTGGGTGGGATGCGGCTGTAGGACTGCGGGTGTTGCTGCCCATGGCGGCATCGATGTCTCCAGGTGGTTGGTGCCAGCCCTCAGACCTGGGCAGGCTCCCAGGCAGTAGCTTCATCCTAAATGATGGGGATGTTTAGTTAAATCGAGTCACTGTTGTCACATTCCTCCCTGTGTTGTTGGTGTCCCACCACACAGAATCCTTCCTTGCACGATAACAGATTAATCCTTGGCGAAACTCCGAAGATTAAATCATCCAAAGTAAAGACACAAAGCACTCCTAGGAAAGACCAGGGAGATTAATAAATGTTGCAAATGCTGCAATATATCTTCAAATTTAGCTAAACTAGAAAAATATTACCACATTTCCAAGGAGCCCCAGTACAGCTGTCGGCTGTGGCTGTTGGGGTTGATCTTGAAACCTAGCCAGAAAAGCTGCCCTTCTCTGCAAGACTCTTTAGGTAAAAATGGGAAAAAATTAGGTTTTACAAACTTTAAAATTTCCTTCAAAGTTTTTCACTCTGCAACACCTTCTGCTTAAAAGTCATCTGCAGAAATTAATATTTTCAGAAAGAGTTCTTTTGCATTTAAACCATTCTGCCTGTTTTCTGCTTAAAAGAGGGCACTGAGATGGGTGAGAGGCAAGGGCTGGTGCAGCTCTCTGCCACATGGCCTTAGTGGATACGAGACAGGGACCACTGTGACCCCAAGCCCTTCCTTGGGCAGCACCAACTGCAGCACTAGCTCTTCCATTTTATCTGGGGGGGAAATCAGTGTTTTGTAACAAATAGCTGCCTGACACTCATAAACCGCTTTTATTTCCTTTCTCACACCTCCACAGAGTTTTGGTTTTGGCTACAAGGCCAGGGTGGGAGGGTCAGGCTGGGCACAGCTCTAATGTCACTGTCCCCAAGGGGCCCCTCTCTGTGTCCTGGTCACTGCCTCAGACATGGGCCCTGTTGGCACCAATTCACAGTGTGGCAGCTGAGGACAGCTTGGACCCTGTTCAACTTGTTTTTTTTTTTCTCATAAAGGAGACTAGACAGTAAGGAAAAGCCAAATCTGTCCTCAAAAAAAACACAGTACCCCAGGCAGGGGCTCACCAGCAGCATTGCCCCTTTCACTCCTGCAAGCCCTGGGAGGAAAGAGGGAGAAGGAGCAGGGGTGGAGGTGCTCAGCCTGTGCCCACTGCCCGCATTGGGCAGAAAATTTATCTTGAGGTTGCAAAAACAACCTAAATGATGGTGATGTCCCTTTGGTTTGGAAGTGAGCCCAGGCATGGGCCAGCCTGCCCCACAGGGCTGTGGGATCTGGATGCTTTCTTCAAGCAGTGGCCATGAGCAGGGGAGGTGCAGGGATGGGAGGGAGGGATGGGACCCACCACTGCATATCACTGCACAAATACAGCAAAATTAAAACCTGCTTTAAAAAAAGTGCAGTGACAGTACACAGGGAAGGTGTCGCTCATCACCGCATCTCCGACAACTCCACACCACTACTCCTTCCCTGTGCTCTCATCCACCACCCCCCTTCAAAAATCATTCACTATTATTTATTTATACCCTTTATTATTGAGGGCATTGGCTGAGGCTGCCCTGGGTTTGGTGGAGGAATGAAGAGGGTGCAGGAGGGCAGCTGGATCCTGCCCCACACAGGTGGCAGCTGTGCTGGGAGTGGAGCAAGCACTGTCCAGGGCTTGGGCACCGTCTCCTGCTTTCCTCATCCTTTTCTTTCACCTTTTCTTTCACTCCTGCTTTCTTGCTTTCTCTTTCTTCTTGCAGGAGAAAAGGTCTCCATCAGCATCTAAGGAAATAAATCCCATTTATTATTTATCACTATCAAGATGTGTCAGCCTGGCTCGGGATGCAGGAGGAATACGCAATAGCCACTAACAGAAATCAAAAACTTGGGGTGGAAAATGCACAGGGTGGGGTTTTGGCAGGGAAACGTGGGTGCTTCGCTGTGCTCAGAGAGAGATCTGGCTACTTAATTGCCCCCTTAAAGGTAAACATTCCTGTTGATGGAACAAGAACAGGACTCGGGGAATATTACCAAGGTGGTGGGTTTGTCCAATGTCTGCTGAAAACCAGCCAAGACTAGAAATACTTACTGGTTCACTACTTCAGCAACACAGTATTAATTGCAGCTGCATGTTTTGATGGACAGTTAGCACACTGGTATTGATGAAAATGGCACCACTTCATCACAAAATTAACTGTTTGGCTGTTCAGAAACTAGAGCTGATAAGTTCTGGCAATAAATTCGCCACGGAGATTTATGCCATCATAATTCGGGCCCACAGGCACACTGTGGTGGGGACAGGGACCATTATCGACACCACTTCCCCTTCATCCAGGGTTTTTTTTAATCCTTCCAGAAATTTGGGTCCAGGAGTTTCATGACCTTTTGGGTCAGATTTGGTGTTCCTTTGAAATCAATGATGCTCGGGCCCAAGTAACCCTCCATGCCACAGGCAACTGGAGGCATGACCAAGTCTCCAGCAGCACGTTGGATGCTCTGAACCACTTCCTCTTCCTCCAGATCGATGGAAACAGAGTACGGTTTTCCCCATTGGTGTTATTTTTATGGAGGCCATTGGCGAGGAGAGGAGACATCTGATAAACCATACAGTTATCCCAAAAACTTTTGAGATACACAGGTAGGCTGTTGGTGCTGCAAACTGGAAAGATCCAATTTCATTACTATTTTTATTAAAGTTTATTATTATCATCATCATCATCCTCTCGCTTGGTAGAGCTGCACCCAGCATGTATTTATTTATTTATTTACTTATTTATTTATTTATATCCCCCTCTACCCTTCCACAAGGCAAAGCAAAGCATTGCTGCAATTCAGGTCAGCCCCAAACCCATCCCTTTCTCCAGGGTTTTTTATTTTTTTGCAGGATCTGCTCTGGACTGGAGGCAATGTGTGGGCAGGGGCCGCAGCCCACCCTGTGCCACAGAAATATTCATCTGTGGAGGATGAACAGCAGCTCCCTGCCTTGGGCGGCGAAGAAATTGGAAAATGTTCCTATAAATGTGATTCATATGACACAGCACCTGCCTGCACATTGCATTATCCAAACCCATTAGGGTGAAGGAGATGCAGCCAACTATTTGGGGATATGGGGTTTAATTTTTCCCCCGCATGTTCCTTATTTCCCCACAGAAATTTCATATCCCGACTCCTTTTTTTCCCTTCCAATGCTCTTTCAAAATTTTGCATATTGTTATTGTGTGGAAGAGGCCCAACTTTTAGAGAAACTTCAGCTGGATGTTGCATTTATAAATAAATGTGACAAATTTAATAGGGTAGGATAGGTATTTGAATTATTGATTGTTAAATATTTAAGCTGCAAGTCCCCATCCATCAGCATGTGTGAGAAGGCTCGGGGCAGATTTATGATGCTGGAGTTTTCCTGGTTAGCTGGCACTTGGCATTTCTATTAATTATAGCCCACACATTTGGGTTTTTTCAGGATTTGTTAGAAGTATTTGTAAAAGATGTCCCTATTATAGCATTTAAATATTGTTTGTGCAACTGGAACGTGTTTTCTATTGGGGATTAATACACTGTTTGATTTAAGGGAAAATTAAATTAGAAGGTGTAAGTCTCAGGAGGCAGGTGCTATATTTGAGAAGGGTTTCCACCACTGCAAAGCACAAAGGT